GTTCTGCCACCCACACCACCGGTCCCACAGGGCCCATCCATCCTGGACTCCCTGTACCCTCAAATTCGATCTTGCAGGTCTGGCTGGACCAGGGGAGGTACACTGGTACAGATTTTGTCATATCTTACACCGTCCGGTGTCTCCCTTCACCCACTTCTTCATTGTTCATCCCCGACGGAGGAGGTTATATGTAGATCCTTGTCATCTGTTCCCCCTTTCTCCCTCACCTTCCCTCCACCCTCCCGGTATCACCACTCTCACCACTGGTCCTGAGAGGTTCATCTGTCCTGGATTCACTGTGTTTCCAGTTCCTATCTGTTCCAGTGTACATCCTCTGGTCCAGCCGGATTTGTAAGGTAGAATTGGTATCATGATAGTGCGGGACGGGGAAAGGGGGAAGGAGGAAGCATTTAGAAACTAGAGGAAATGCATATGCTTCATCATTGCTACACTGTGCCTGACTGTCTCGTCTCCTCCCTGCAGCCCTTCTAAGCACAGGGATGTCCAGTTGCCTATAGATAGGCCCTGGGTCCACACTCCACACTCCCCTCATTCACAATGATATGATTTTTTTGGTCTTTGATGCCTGATACCTGGTCCTTTAACACCTTGTAATCGCTCAGGCTGGTGTGCTTCTTTCATGTGGGTTTTGTTGTTTCTCAGTTAGATGGCCACTTGTTTATCTTCCAGCCGATAGTTGTTGTCCAATTTTTTAGCTACTTTTAAACAGCTATAACTGAGGCAATATATTTTTGTTGATTACCATAAAACTAGCTCCAATTTATGGGAAATTGGAAATTTATATATATATATTTCATATATATATGAAACTCTCCCCACATCCACCCCTTCTTCATGATCATTGGTATGTTAGAGTCTATTGTTGTGGCTATTGTATAAATCCATATCATGAATGGTTTCCTCATTATTGTTTCTCATCTACTTCACTACACATGATAATATGGTATTTGAAATATCAGTCCAGTAGCTTCCAATATCATAGCAATACATAAGCAATCACAATGCAAGAAATTGACAGATGAGTGGTGGAGAAAAATAAACCCAAAATAAGTAGAGAAATTAATGTAGTTGGACAAGTAAGCCATTTAACAAAATGTTGTCATCACGTCATTTGGACTCAGAGCAGTCCGTGGTCCCTCTCCTTCACTTCATCCCCTAGGCGTACTCAATTAGGGAGTAAATGATACTGTGGTGCCTTCCTGGAGGTCATGTCACTCACTAGATAGCCAGAGGATTTCAACTTGAAAAATCAAACTGAGCTGCATCTCTGTGCTGCTCTAGTCCTGGTGCTTTTATTTCTCTGCTCGCTGGCATATGCTTAGACACTCTCAGATCTGCGAAGCGTGACCTATAGCTAGAGAAGATTTCTCGTTTCATTGATGTGCTGCTCAGAGTGCACTGCAGTGCGCTGGATAGCTGGGCACTCAAATGCTTTTGAAAGTACAGCATCCCAGTGATAGAAAAACTCCATGCTTTTGGGACTCAGGTGCAGATGGGATATAGGAGTATAAAATGCATGTTTATTTATAGAGCCAGCCTCTTTGGCGATTAACCTCATCACCCAGCATAAATGTAGCGGCTCTATGGATGTAGGGAGGAAAATTAAGTTTGTTTACTTTTTCCTGAATATATAGCCACAGAATTATAAAATTATGCTAAAATGTGGATGGCCCTTTTATGATAAGGGACTCACTTTCTGTGTGCAAAGGCAGCACATAAGCAATTTATGGATGCTCTTGTCATTTGCAAAAATGTGCTGACAAGGAGTTGGTACACTCGATAGATAAATGTGCCTAATGCACCATGTTTCAGGCCACTTGTTTATTTATTTGTTTTTAAGTAGAAGAGTAGATGTTTGTTCCAAGTGGAATATTTCCTAGGTATGTAATAATAGGGCTTAATAGACGATCGATTTCTGAGATAGTTTAAAACTGTCCATTGTAAAGTTGTAGACACAGAATTTATGGAGTCTCTGTGTGAGTGGAAATATCTACTTAGGAGTGCAAGGTTCTTAGCCTTCTGCTCTTCTGATTTCTCCTGAATTCAGTCTCGGTCTGCCTCTGAGGCCACACAGGCGTGAAGCACACACTCACTCCACGAAGGCGCTCACCGTCTGCGAGCATTTATTGGCATCACTTTGCAAAGGCTTTGCATGTAGGAATCTATTTAATCACTGTATTACTCTAGGTACTTTGGGGAAGCAAATCCACAGCAACTCACGTATAAGAGAGAGTTTTATGCAAAGAAAATGTGCATCATGAAAACATCCCAACCCAATGCTGCCCAAGCCCACAAGTCCAACATTAACCCATACCCAACACCAGTCCACAAAGTCCTTCACCTCACAAAACAGACGCAATAATGCCGACTGTAGCAGGAAAGCTGAGTCAGTGAACGAACAAGCATCTCAGCACTAGCAGGGGTCTCCACACGGCTGCTCCAGCACCCAGGGCTGCATCGGGATAGATCCATGCGGCTTCTCCTTGGGGATGTCTTGTAGGAAGTCAATCTTGCAAGCTGAAGCAGGGAGCTGCTAAGGCAGCTGCACCCGATGCAACCATCACAAAACAAGAGACCCGAGAACTAGAAAGGCGAGGCTTCACCACCCATTTATCCCTCCGCCTTTCAACCAGCACCACATGTGATTATCGGCCAGGCTGGCACAATTAACTAACTCAATCACACAACTATATGAGATATGGAAATATGTTATTTCCATTTTGTCTGCAAAGAAACCGAGATATTTTAAGGTCAAATAGTTTACTCAAGGCCATAGAACTACTAATAAGGCTGATTGAGTCCCCTTGTTCTCTCTCATATATTTATGAGATTATATATATATATATAATTTCCTACTGAATATATGTGTGGATGTATATATGTATATACACACACATATATTCAGTAGGAAATTTGTTTCTTCTTATCGCACCCATTGAATATTTTACCTAAGATTTCTACCAAATGTGCCCTGTGTTGTTGAGGAATTTCTTCTCAAAACACGTTTATTTGCTGCTACATAGAAAGTCAAAATTATTTTAGAGCTTAAATCTCTTTTGTGCTAGCAAGTCAATGGTCAGGATTATTAGGGAGTGCTTCTCTGTTATTTTAATGGCACCGAAGCATTCTATTTTACTTCTCGCCACCACTAAGGTAAGTTCTGAAATTCTTAGGGGAGATAAGTTAGGCTTAGACAAATTACTTTTAAAGTAACAGAGTGGATATGTAAATGATCTAAAGGCATGCAAGAAATTACATGAAACAACACCAGAAGGGTCCTCAGACAGAGCTTCATCACTTTGCCCTCTCTGCCCCTTTGGCTATGGAGTGCAGCTAATGGAGGAAGATGCTGAGGGCTCCCGGGGCTTCCTCCTATTCACTCCGACATCCAGAGAAAGACCCAGAGCTCCGCCAGCAGTAGGAGCAGCGATGGCCTACTGGTGCGCTGTCAGGGAAACTAAGAATCAAGCAAACCTCTGCTGGCTCTGGCCAGAAGGAGACTTTGAGAAGTTGTTAGAAGATGGTGGAATGCTTTAGAGAGGATTGTTTGTGTGTGATGAGAACCTGTATTATGGAATTTAGTAAGTGAGATGACAATGGACATCTTAAAATGGCAAAAATAGGTTTTCAAAAGCATATATATGAAGCTCCTTCAATGCTCCTTCATCTTTTACCAATCTTCACGATAACTCTGAAACAGGAGAATAAGTGATCCTAGCTTAGTTCACTAATAAAAATAAAAACACATTCACAGCACATAGATTGTGGATGTCAATCAGTGGTTCTATATTATGTATTGTCAATTGAGGATTATATATTAAGCAAATTATCTCATTTGATTCTCCTAACAACCCATAAGGTAAGTCTATTATTGCCATTTTATAGATGAAGAAATAGGTCCAAACAACCATAAAAAACAAATCGAGTTGATTCAGACTCATGGTGACCCTGTAGGACAGGACAATATTACCCCATGGGTTTCTGAGACAATTAACTCTTTACAGGAGAAGAAAGCCCCATCTTTCTCCCGCAGAGCTGCTGGTGGCTTTGATCTGCTAACCTCAGTTAGCTAACTGTAGTTTGCAGCCCCACACAAAACAACTACACCACCAAGGTGCCTTTAGAAGATTATTTTATTTTAAAAAAGAAACTAACTTTCTCAATGCCCCCCACAAGATTCAAACAAGTTTGTTTTAATGTTGACTTTAATCTCTCGATCAGGATACCATGTAGCTTCTCAACAGAAAAAAAAAATCCTGTACATTATGAGATTAGTAGAAGACACTATTGATTGCTTGTGCAAAATCATTATTTCAACTACTGCCTCCTCAGACCACATGATTTTCCTTGCTCGTAGACTCATGATTTGTGCATCTACTCACTCTCTAGTTGTTTAGACTTAGATAAGTTATGTCTCTCCTCAGGGAAACCTCACATCAAAGTCAGCCTGGGCCACTCAGAAGAAATCTTATCCTTTTGCCAGTAAATGACTGAGGAAAAGGCAGCTGATGATGGCCATGGCAGGGAGATACGGGGGATGCCTTCAGAAGCAGAATTAGCAAGGGATTCCAAGATCTTTTTTAAAAAAAGAGGCTCCCTGTTTCTAACAGAAAAGGTGGTCTTCTGTGTTCCTGCGGAGAATTTGGTGTGTCCTTCTGCAGCTATTGCAACTCCTCCCGTGCACATGCCCACCGAGTGTGACAGAAAACAAGGATGAAAGTACCCTAACTTTGACACGATCCTGACAGTGAGTTGCTTAACTAACCCTGGAGTGCCCTGCTTTGGGGGGTTTTGCTCAGAGACCATTTTTTTAAACTGCTTAGACCAGTTGAGCTATTCTGTTATTCGTCGGTGAGAATAACCTCCTAGAGAGTCTTGATGACATAGCTTCTTTTATATTGCTGAAAGCTTTTTGTAACTTTTGATATCAATTTTAGCCCTTTTCCAATTTTTGATATCAATTTCAAACGCATGGCTTCCTCAGGTCCCACGCCTCCTTTTGAAGTTTGGTGCTGATGTAAATGTAAGTGGTGAAGTTGGAGATCAGCCCCTCCACCTGGCATCTGCTAAAGGCATCTTTAACATCACAAAACTCTTGATGGAAGAAAGCAGCAAAGCAGATGGTGAGATGATATTTTTAGCAGACCTCTGCTATCTCTTACTAACACTATTATTTTTATTTCTACTTTCGTTAGTTACTGAAGCTTTGTATTCAATCTTTGGCTAATCCTATATACATCTACTGTTTTACTGTCCACGTCATAATTTGTTATTTGTAGATACTTAGTAAAGACATATGTGAATTCTATCTTTACATGTTTTAACTCAATTCTGAATATATCAGGTGTTCAAATGAAAATGAGAGGTTTCCAATATAAATGATTACTATTTGGTTTTGTTCACTGATTTTTCTTTAACTGAGATGAGATTTACATAGAATAAAACTCTAAAATTGTAAATGTAGAGCTTGCGCATTTACTTATGTAAGATAGAAATAATTTGCAGATCAAGATATAGAATAGGCCCATGAATATAGAAGAGGCCCTGAAAAGTTCAATTATGGTATGTCTGCTCTCCAAAGCCCCTTCAGCACCAACGTTCATCAATACTCAGACTTTTCTTGCTATAATTTAATGATACAGTCTCCTGAAATGCATATATTTGTTTATGGAAAACGTTGTATAATGTTTGCGATTGGTTTCTTTTCTTCAGCCAAATGTGTATCCATGTGTATCCATGTCATGTCATTGCGTGTATCATAGCTTGTTTTTTTATTGCCGAAGATGGACTTGATATGTTTGTATCTGTTCTCCTTTAATGGGTATTTGAGTGTTTCTAATGTTTGTTATGGATTAAATAGGCTTCACCAAATTGGGGGATGTGTATGCGTTATTCTCATATACATATGTATATCTAGAAGTAAGATGGCTGGGTTAAAGGATTTCCAAATATTTACATTTTAGAAATTTGCCAAATTGACTTATCAGCCAGCTGTGCTATTTATAACTCCCCCCAGCAAGATCAGAGAGTTCCAGTTGCTCCTCATATCCACTAACATTAGGTATCATATTTCTATTGCTTTTAATGGAATAAAATATCTTCGCTAACATTAGATATCCTATTTCTATTACTTTTAATGGAACAACAGCGTTGTGACCACATTGGGAGAAAATGCAGACTTTAGAGGACAGAGAAGGATTTTAGAAGTAATGAAAAGAAAAGAATTTCCCCAAAGTTTCTTGTTTCACCAATTATAAAAGTAACTTTTCAATATTGATAATAAGTAGAGTCTGAAAAGATTTTCTTCCTTTCTCTTTCTTTCTCTCTCATTTCCTCACAAACTGGTTTTTGACATGAATTCACTCAGCGCTCCAGCTTGCCATTAAATTCTCTCAGGCACATCCCACATCCTTCATTGACCCCCCAGGAGACCTAATTAAAAGCCCCTTGGTAAGAGCTGTTGGCCTTTGCAGCAGGAACGATGCGCATTTCCAAAGGACAAGATTGTCAGAACCTCTAAAACTGTCAGTTCCTTGGTCCAAAATTCCGACTGGATTTCAGGTAATGAAACTAATGATTGTTTTATCTCCTCATCACAAAGACACTATTGGTCCTAGAGACAATGGCCATGAGAGGCTAGGAGGGTTTCCTTGTTATTTTTTTATAAATCGAAGAACACGGTTTGTGTGGTTTTCTAGGAGCCTGTGTGCAGTAACACAGGTGCCTTCTTTGTGGCATTCTTATCAGCACCCTGAGTTGCGGGATGTACAGAGAGATCACTGTCCTTTGGACCTTGTCTGGGCCGTCTCTTTCATTCAGTCCGTTTAGATAGGCAGAGGTGCACCTGTGTGACTCACTGAACACAGAATTATGTTTTTGAAACTGCCTTGCTCTTCCGGGGGGTCAGTAACCTCATCACCTTTTCCTTTTATTATCGATGCCAACTCAGCTTTTTTTTTTTTTTGCTCCAAAATTCCAAAGCGCAGCGGTGTCAAAATGAGTGTCATTTATGATCAGCATGTCTCCAGGATCAAAGGGCTCTTGTGAAAAGGCATTGAAGTGTGTACTGCACCCATATATTCCTTACATTCTAGCGCCATATGACATAATTTTAGCGTCTTCTTTCTGACTCACACAAAGTACGACATACCTCCTACTCAGTCACTTAAAAAAATCAAAAGACAGTGTGACTCAGAGTGTTAAGCCTTTTTATTTCTTCCTCATACAAACTTGATATTCAAGCTTCTTTATAGTTTTACACCAGCCAATTGCAGAGAATGGACAAGTAGCTCTCCTGCTGGACATAACACAGGACTTACTGTCAGTTCATTTATTCTGAACTGTAGCTAAGCTTCCGAGTGATTTAATTCAGTTCTGGACTTTGCCTGTGGTAAATGAACATATAGGAAGAGTAAGTAAATGACCCTGAAAGCAGCACAATTGGAAATCTGGTGTTTACAGTATATTTCCATGGTAACAGAATGTCACAAGTGAAAATAAATTCAGGTGACAAAATTAGGCGAACGTAGTTCTGAAAATAGCCACGTCAGCTCACATGTTCGGAAAGCTTGACCTACTCAGTCATGTATGATCTCCGGCTCTGGTCTTCTTCCTGTTCCTCCTAGGGTGATGGGGAGGCAAAGGGGACTGGATGTGGAGAGAGAGTGAAAGGTCAACCTCTCACTGCACTCTCCAAGAAGAAACTAGTGATGCAGTCCTCAGACTTTCTCACTTTAATAAAGAAGGAAATAGAACTTGTACATTCAGATTTAATAATTTTTATCTTCTAAATGTTAAGTGCGATCACTATTTCAACAGAAGCCTTCAACGTGGAAACGGAGACTACAAAACGTTGCAAAAATTCTTAAGACCTGTCCACTAAAATGAAGTGTTCTACTTTGTAAAAGTATAGCTTATTGGAGCTATTACACAGATTTTTTATTGAAAGTTTATTCAGAGCACATTTGGGAGTTCTTTTAAAGAGCCTCTGGGATCTTCTGACATTGTTAGGCTAATCTGTAGAATTTTATTTTATATTAAAGGTCTATAAAGAGAAATAAGAAAGCAGAAACATCCATCCATCTATATAATCTTTCTTTCTAAAAACATTACTGTGCACCTGCTCCCTTTTATGCAGTGGATTAAGCAGTACTATATTTTCAAAACATATACTATGCCTGTGCATGGAATGTGCATGTGCACGGAATGTGTACAGTGCTTATTCAGAGAAAACGAAAGTCTATGGGGCTTTCATGGCTTGCAAGAAACCATTTAATATATGCATTCTTTGCATAAAATGTGGTAATATTTTCTAATAGTTATTTACATGTATTCTTTTGTCTGAAACCCTCCTTAATTAAAACTTCTCAATATAATATATGTTAGAGTCAATAGATTACCATTCATTCCATTTCCCTGTGACAAAGTGAACATACTGTATACTGTTTGTGCCTTTGCAAGTTGCTTCGAAACAAAGCCCAGTTGATCACAAAGACTGAGGCAGAAAACAGGTGACTGCACATCAAGCTGTCTGATCTCCCCTTCTCCCTGTTTTGCTCTCTGGTTATTTACATTTTTTTTGATGGGAAGCATCTCTAGGGTACTACAGGTAATTTATCAAATAAATAATTGACTTTGAAGTTTATTGATTCAACTAGAGAAGAAGAATGCTGGGTGGAGCCAGGATGACCAAAGGTAAATGGTGAATTAATGGAGGATTATACTGCATTCTGCTTAACAATGTCCCTTTGGCACCTCAAGAACACTTATGTGATCCTCCAGATGCCCTGACCTCCTGACTGCTCTCCAACATTGACTCCTGGGATTGACATTCCCCGACTTCCAACAGAATATGAACAAAGGAACAGTATCTTTATAAGGAGGATCATCAAAAGAGCCACAGGCATTCTTTGAAAGAAAAAGTGTCTGTCTGAGCCACTCATAAATAAAAAAATTCAAAGATTCATTTGTCAATGACAATCTTGGGAGGCGGGGCTCAGGGACCAACTTAATGATTTCCTATTGGCTTAAGATCTTGTAGGACAATGGGAATGATTGTGTTCCAAAAACATAGCAGTGTAAGATCTAAACCAGGCTTCACTAAATAGTAAGTGATTATTATACCAATACAAGAATATTGCTATATTTTCATAATAATTTGCATATGCATATCCCATGCATACATAGAGGAGAATCCATTTTTTAAATTAAGTATGTGTTCCTTGCCTTTTCCATGCAGGCTTCATGACTCTCCACCCCCTAGGCCCTTTCCTTTTTTTTCCCTTCAATCTTTGGGTTCTAAAGAGAATGTGTACTACAGACACATATAATAATGAGAATTAATTAAATTTGTTAGGGGCTATTTTTATTTTAAATAAAATATTTTGACAGATGCACAAATTAATCAAATAATTTTGAAGAAGTTGATACCATAATTTTAGTTGTGAAAGTTTAATTAAGACTGGGCCGGGGGTCCAATTATTATTACTGCAGTCCTGTAAGTGTCCACAACTCAATGACTCTGTAAGTTATTTAAGTATAAAAAATGTATTCATTGATAGCTGATTGGTCTTCAAACTCAGCATATTCCTAGGAAGGAAAGTTATTGAAAGATAGTGTAACTTTTATTAAATGTCTAATATGATACAGGATACATGCTAGGTGCTACCTACATATGATCTCCTTTAATCCCATCAGTATTTCTACAACCAGGCATTTACTCCATTATTACTGATAAGCAAACAATACATCTGGGCTGGCACTAAATCCTAACTCCAACTTAAGAAAAATTAGCTCTTACATCATGGCCCTGCTCCGTACTTACCCTCAGGAAGGGAACACAGAATGTATGGGTGCTATAGCAAAATGTGGTGAGGAAAATAGATGGTGCCTGGCTATCAGATAAAATAACTTCTGGGGTCTCAATGGCTTGTTTCCAAGCAAACAGCCTTCTAAGTGAGATATCAACAAAGTCTGCTTGGAAGAAGCACACCAACATCAGTGAGCAAAGGACTGTAAATCATAGAATCCGAAGTTGAAGGAGGGACTAGTATCAGGGTCTAAATTGTGAGATTCTGGTGGGCAGAAGGCTGTGGATGACAATGGGAGCCCAAGATACATTTGTGGGAGCTACCTAGGAACCAAGCCTCTCCATACTAGAGGACGGGAAGAAACTGGGTACTAAACTGAGTGCACTGGAGAGATGACATAGAAGATCAAAAGGGTAAGCCTGATTTGAACAGTTGAAACCTTGTCAGTTAATTCCCCCTTTGATACACATTAGGCCCGATCTGATTTTCAACATATGCTGTGTTTTCCTTTGTTCATATTGGGGTTTTTCTCAGATGTGTTATGTCAAAGGGGTTACCTTCTTGAGTTTATGTTACATGTTTTCCTGTTTTTCAGTCTATGAAACCCAGAATTGATGAACCTATAAGGACAGCAAGTAGAATCAGGGTTTTGGGGGGCCAGAGATTTATGGTGGGGGTAGGGGTGGTAAAAGGGAGCTGATGTCCAGGAGTCCAGGAAGGTAAAGTTTGCTTTGAATCGGATTGTGGTAGGAATTGTACAAGACTGCTTGATGTGATTGAACTACAGAATGATAAACTTGTATTAACTCTCAATAAATGAAAGAAAACAGTACTTCCAACACCTAACATATTTGCTTTCATAACAGTGACTCTATAATACTTGCTAAAGCTAAGTGCATACCAGTAATTTTGTTGTTGTCGTTGTTTGCAAGCCACAGGAACTGACTTCCGATAACTCCTGCCTAAAGCGGTCTGAGAAGACACACATGTGGGTCGCGTCCACACACCGACAGACACTAGCACTGAGGCCGGAAATGAATCTGTGCCTGGAATCGCTAGCCCTGCCACCACACTGGAAACTGGGTGGAGCAATTGCCTCCACCGCCACCCTCCCAGCAGATGGTGCCCTGCTTCTGTGCGTGTCCTTCGTTCTGAAGTCAGAATCTGGGGTGGCGTGTTGCTTGGAAGAGTTTTATTGATGTGTCCAAAGTGGGCACTGTGGAGAGTAAAATGGTCATGTGATAATTGTGCTATGAGAACAGGTCTAAACTGGAATATGGCCACAAAACACACACTTCCTATAATGAGAATCCGCACAAAGCTGATTGCTATGAACCAGAAGTTCAAGATGTCCCAGACGGTCACCTTGTCCAAACGGCTGCACCACTGTCTCCAACGGCGACTAGTTTTCTGCCTCTCAGTGTTCTTCCTCCCCTGATTGGGTTTGATAATTGGATAATTCAGCGTCTTCGCAGAACTCATTAACTGTCCTTAGCGTTAGTAAGAGGCTAACAACCTGGGATCAAGATCAACTTGGAAGGAACAGGATACTACTCAGGCGACAGAATGCAGTTCGTCAGTCAGGACACTTTTCCGCTAGAGCAGCAGGCTTCGCTCCTTTCCATCATGCCAGCGGGTTCGGTTCTGCACTTTGCACTGCTCTCTGACCCACTCGGAGGCCTGGGAGGTTCCAGAAGTTCTACTCTGCTGTTCAGCCCCGCTGTGCCTGATGGGCCTCAGAAACTGGGTCTGGCCGGGCCTCTCCTCTGGTTGGACTCTTGTCACAGCTCTTTTCGCTCGGCTGGCAAGTACCTAGTTGCACCGTGCCTTGTCAGAAAGCTTCCACCTAAAGATGCTCATCCCTGAGCCAGCACAGCGCCCTGCAGTTTTCTGGTGGTCTTGCGGTTCCCTCCGCAAGAAATGCTGCTACTGTTTGGCATTACCATCTCGTTCGATCTCACACCATCAGCAATGTTACAGCTCTCAACCAAAATTTTAACTCTTTTAGAAAATTCCCTAAATGCTCTAAAATAACCTGTCAAGTTGGCTGTTCATATTCAGGGTCCTTATCAATTTCAAGAGATGGCCCTCCCAGCAAGGCCGCAGAATGGCCAATCCCTTGTCAGGTCACTTAATTTTATTGAGTGGTTCTAACAACAATGTATGCATACTAATTAAATAACCCCTTTCAAGATTATAACCCAGCTAGCCAAACATTTTTGGCAGAATAGTAAACCCAGAGATTCAAAGCCATAAATAAGGTAATTCCACTGCGCTTCAGAAACCATCTATTAATCCTGTGTCTCAATTCCAGGGGGGTCTTGGAAAACAGATTTTCACACTGTGTGTTAGTAGGTGGTGTAAATTATCATAGGGAGTTGAAATATGAATAATTTCCCAGATGTAGGAAGGTGTTATAAGGCTAGTTGGGAGAAGAAATAAAGTAATACTCACAACAGAATTAACATTTAATTACATGTTACATAGTCTACCTTGCTTTTAACCCATGCCAAACTCCGTCATTCTTTCCCAACAACTGTCTCCTTGTCTATGTATGGATCTCACATGAGCATAATTAAGTGTTCTGGTATTCCTATTCTTCTCAGTGTTTTCTATAATCTGTTAGGATGTTCATAAACTAGTAACTTTGCATTGTCAATAAAACACAGAGAGACAGATTCTGCTGTCACTTAATGACGTTTCTGGGGTACCACATTAAGGTCTACCTCATTCTTTAAAAAATATGTTTTCGTTTTATTACACCATGCTGGCCTGTATATAATTGTGAGGTAGTTCATATGTAAAGGCACATCAGAACCTCCTTAACCATGTTTTAATACGTAGATGCTAACTCTCATCCTCTCAGGACAGCATTCTGGCCAGAATCTATTTTTAATAACTCCCAAAGGAAGGACCAGGGATCTGCTTGAAAGGAAATACTAGTGGAAATCAGGCTGCCTTTTGTATGCTTATTAATTTCCTCTAGTAGTTCACTGTGCCAGGTAAATTTCATTAGACACATTCTATAAAATGCGTGGGAGCTGGAAGATAGCCTGTTCAGCATGGTAATAGGCAATAGACTAGAATTAGTACATTTTAAATTAGTTGCACTTAAGTTCTTTTATTATTATCATTAATTGGCAATTTCCAGGAGTCTCTCAGGCACTTAGCAATGGCCCCAGCACTATACCCATGAGGGCTGACAGACAGGGGTTCTGAGATAACACGCCTTTTCCTCTCTTCTTGATGGCAGTGAGTGCTCAGGACAATGAAGACCATGTCCCACTTCATTTCTGCTCTCGCTTTGGTCACCATGACTTAGTGAAGTACCTGCTCCAAAGTGACTCCGAAGTACAGCCCCATGCTGTTAACATCTATGGAGACACACCTTTGCACCTGTGAGCATGCTTTACCATTCCAGAGGTCCTCGAGAGGTGCTAGGTGTACCCTCATGATTAACAAAGTGCTTCCTTTAACTCTAGGGTATGCTACAATGGCAAATGCAAAGTTGCCAAAGAAATCATCCAAACAGCAGGAAGAGAAAGTATGACTAAGGAAAACATCTTCAGTGAAACAGCTTTTCACAGGTAAAAGAGTATTTAAGTGCCCTGGCCAGCCCCTTGCAGCGTCTGAAATTTTGTACATAAAGCGAGAACAAATAATGGCCACTGTTGCCATCAGAGAGCAATCGCAGAAGGTGGCAGAGGACAAGGAGTCCAGCTTGATGCACAGAGGAAAAGGAGAGGCAGATGCTGCAGTCAGTACAACAGATGGGGCAGGAGACAGATGCTTCATTCTCGGCAGCAGCTATTAAGGCAGAGACTGATGTTGCCACGGCAACAGGCATATCAACATCTGTAAGCATATTGCTTCTATTCCTTTTCACTCTGGGGAAAGGTGCCAAAAGGGGCAGTGCCCATAATCCTCCTCCGACGAGAATCTCATTACCAGAGCTCATCAGCATCAAAAGTGACACTTTTTCCTCACCATTTAAACCTTATGTGCAAATGTGTCTACCTATCTAAGAAATCCATCTGTCTGCCTGTAAATGCCTAGTCAAGGTGGCCACGTAGACACCTACGAGCACATTCGCTCCTTTCTAGGGATACCTGACAGCCTTGAACAGTCTGCGTACAAAAGGTACGCTCAAGGAGAAGAACGGACTGTAAATATTGCATCTTCTCCACCCTAACAGGGTTTGCTAATAACTCAGAACCATAGCTCTTTAAGATGCCCCAAAAGAAGATGAAAATAGCATTTAAACACTCAATGTAATTCTTCAGATGGTTGCTGTTTTGCTATCAAAATAAAGGCAAGAACTAGGAATATAGAAGCCTTGATTAACCTTTACGTTACAGATTCCTAGGCTAGTTTGTCACTTCTTAAAATGTATTTTGGGGGGCTAATTTATTGTTTACATGGATCAATGAATAATAGAGTTGGGAGAGCTGCTATACATATTGAAGTAAAATTAAGCTTGTGTATATACATCAGGCAACAACCTGTTTAATTTTACATCAATTTCTAGGCATATCTTAACAACCAAGCAGATCAACTAAGAGTTAGATGAGACTGAGACTGGCTCTATGCAGATGATTTACATCCATAACTTCATTTAATCCACATAACCACTGGGTGAAGCTGAAGCTATACAAGGCTTCGTGAAAAAATAAATTTAGAGGATAATGGAATTTTTGCATGCATGCTTTGAAAGTCCCTTGGATTTATTAACCCACTCTTTCAGGTGAGAAAATTAAGGTTAAGGGAGTAAGTAATTTCCAAAGTTTCTCTGTTGCATGTAAAGAGCAAGGGGAAACTGCCTGGTTTAAAATGAGGAAAGCTGTGTGGCGGGGTTCCATGCTCCCACATACTTGTTCAATCTGTATGCTGAGAAAATTATCAGAAACGCTGGAGTTCAGGCAGAAGAGTAAGATGTCAGGATTGGAGGAAGGCTTATTAACAACCCACGGTATGCAGATGACACAACCTTGCTTGCTGAAAGTTAGAAGAAATTGAGCACTTGCTGATGAAGATCAAGGATTGCAGCCCTTCCTATGGATTACAATTTTGTGTAAAGCAGACCAAAATCCTCACAAGTGGACCAATAAGTAACATCATGATAGATGTAGAAGAGGTTGAAATTGTCAAGGCTTTTATCTTGTTTGGATCTACAATCAATGCTCATGGAAGCAACAGTCGAGAGCTCCAAAGATCTCTCTTGCATTAGGTAAATCTGCTACACAAGACCTCTTCACAGTATTGAAGAGGAAGGATGTTACTCTGAGGA